GGCGACTGACGCGGCTCGACCGCCCCGCTGCCACTGGGAAAATCATTTGCCGAGTTGCGTAGTATACTTTTCAATGCCATTGATGGTTGCATGGATTTCGTGGTCTCTTTCGGTTTTGCATAGGTGTCGGTTGAGTTTTGTCTACGCAAGTCGCCATAGCTCTTCACTTTGCCGATCAGCTGATTGATCTCCGTGTCACTTAAGTTGCGCACACGTCCGCCTGTGTCACCGCGCGACACATGCGTCTCGACATCCGCATCACGTCGGTAGGGTGTGTGTGTATCATTGATGCATGGCATTTTCTTTGCTTTGCAAAGCCGATTCAGTATTTCCTTTTTGCGATTACGTTCATGGTCCGGATCGGTCTGTTGTACCTTCTGTATCAGACGTTCCAAATGCTCGGGGCGTGTGTACTGCGACGAAGGGTTAGTTGAAATATTGTTTTTAAAATGTAATGAATTAAAAATACTAACAAAAATAATATATGTAAAAACAAAAAAACGGTTCATGAAAAAAGAATTTTTATACTACGCAGTTTTGCTCAGCCGCTTCTAACCTCAAATTATTTTCGCTATATTTTACCTTAAACTCGAAATTCCTCGTTGTCGTGCTCAAGACGGGATCATCGTGCAGCGAGAATCCGTAGAATTTCTTACCATCGAATTCATTCATCTTCAGTTTTTAGAGTTTTTATAGTTTTTATTTTCGCTTCAATTTTGGCTCTTCCGTCGTACGTTTCTCGTTCGTCTGCCGTTAACTGCTTCAGTTTCTAGCTTACCAATGCAGTTACTCTCTGTTTCAGTTGTTGGTGTGTTCCACAGACGCCTGGTGAATTGTCAAAAATTTTCAATACAAAAATTGCAAAAACCAATTATCAAATATAAAGTGTTATAAAAAAACTTTTTGTAAATGTAAAATTGACAAAAATATATTCACGACTGAATAATAATTTTTTTTTCGTATTTTCTTCAATGCTGAAGTAACTTACAAAGCTGCCTGAGCCAACGAAATTCAAAAACAATTTTTGTAATACAAATGGCAATTGAAAATAGCTAAAATATTGAAATTGCCCTTTTGAGGGAATAGTGCAAAGAGAAGTATGCGTGTCTGCTGGCTTTGAGTTATCGCATTCAATGCTCGTCGATTGGTTTAGTGAGCTGCGCAGGTGGTGGCTTTATCATATGGTTAGGGAACAGTTGGCTATAAAATATGCTTAGTTGGTTATAAAAGGGGTTGAAGGACTAAATACTTATGAATATATTTATATAATTGAGTTATAAGAGAGCCGAAGAGTGAATATTTCAGTCAATTTTTGAGTAGCAAGAATATAATGAATTACAGAAAAAAGGTAGGAGAGAGAGAGTTAATTTGGGTTTGCAGTTTATATTCACCATTAAAAAAAAGACCTTAAACTTTGCGAACACTAGTCCTTATAAATGAGTTCATACATACATAGTTAGGTTTGTGATTACCATACAGCACGAATTTCTTAAGAATACTAAGATTAAGTGGAAAGCGAGGTTAGATAGTTGGAAGATAGAAAATAATTGAGGCTTTGCACTGCGACCTATGGTCTATTGTGCCCTCTCCTATATCACAGTGCTCCATCATCATAAACAATGCCAGGAGCTGGCTGGGCTCGACTGAAGTGATGTCATCCCTTTCCATGTAGATGGAACCTAGGACTTTGAGCACGCTTCTACAAATTGCTGGGCAATCTAGAATCTGGATTTTCGGTTTACCATATACACATGGGATGTTACTTTTCTTGTTCTGATTTGAGAAACTAGAAAATAATAATAGAAAAAAAAAATTTCAAGAAAACACTTAGCGTGACTGCTTATTCTCAGCCGCCATCTTACGAGTTCTCTTACATTGTCGAATAGGCGTGCATGTGGTACGACTGAAAATCTCTGTCGGATGCTAATAGTCAAAGTTGTATGGAGGAAGGTGAGATGAAAGCCTTCAGGTACTTTCTCCTCCACTGCCACAATATACTGGTTCTCAGCTGTCCAAGTAGGCTTCGTTTTCGGGTTGACTTTTAAATGGATTTGGATTGACTTTTTAACCGAATATTAAGCGAGCTTAAACATTATTTGTTATATAGAACGGTATTGTGGTCTTTCGTCGGATTGTATCGGACAAAAACATAGAAAACTTGATCACTCATACATCATTTCTGATGCTTCAACATTTATAACATTTTATACCAAATCGAGTAGGGATAATTAAAACAATATTTTGTGTAAAAAAAATAATTATTAGAGATATGAGGAATTTTACATTTTATATGAATTTTTATAAATCCCTGGTTTTTTTTTTTCAAACAGGATCAATAAAATTAGTCAGAGATGTTACTGGCATTGCTGTACATTCGGAACGATCAGTGAAAACCATTTTGAAAGATCATTTGGGCATAAGAAAAGTAAAAGCACAATTGGTTCCAAAATTATTCAAGTTTTGTGACAAACAGCTTCGCGTTAAAACAATGCTATCCGTTTACCACTATGTCATGAAACCTATGTATATCACTAGCGAAGAGACTTGGATCTATGCTTACCACTCAGAAACAGGCAAAAGTGAGCCGAAACCGAAAAAATCAAGTCAAAGTAGGTCAAAAATCAAGGTTATGTTGACAGTTTTCTTCGATTATCAAGATGTGGGGCACTCCGAATTCCTTCCGACCGTCCAAACCGTCCACAAAAAACACTATTTGAGTGATTTTTTCGCCAAGTTTTTTTACCAATATCTTGCCGCAACCACCGTACAATCGCCAGATTCAACTTCGTGGGACTTCTGGCTCTTCAACAAACTCAAAGGACCGCTCCGGGGAAATCGTCGTCAATTGAGGACTTGAATCGTTATGCGCATTGAAGACCATTCCGGAAACTTACTTTAATAAGTGTAAGATTATTGGGGCCAAGGTAGATTTGGGCGGAATAACATCGATTTTGAAAAATAAATTAATTTAATAATTTTAAAATAATGAATAAAGTCTTACAATTTTTTGCTTAGTCGAAAATAAAAGTACGTTCCATTAATGGGTAGGTGAAGGTAATAACGAAGACATTGTAGGAAAGAAAAAATCTTCTCAAAACATTGGACAAAGAATATTAAATTAAGGTATCAAAGAAATGTTTATAATTGATGATTTCAGTATTGGCCTCAAGGCATCGAAGTTAAATGCAAATAATCAGCAACCTCGATTGCTTGTTCTATGTTTCAATGCGGACCTATGCGTATTCTTACTTCTAGTATTAAAAAACCGCAATATTTCCCTTTTTCAATAAATAAAAAATGTATTTCTTTATTAGTAAACGGTATAACTGTGAATAGTTTTAAAAAACTACATACAATAACAGTTATGAAACGGAAATAGATTTGAGTCTGCAACAAATGTTGCGATGGACAAAAGAGCCTTAAAATACTAAACTAATATTAAACATTTTAAAAGCTAAGTACTGGTTGTGTAATAAATACGTTGTTGTAAATATGTTTATATTTTCGTTTTGCTGCTTTTTGAACGCCATTATTGTCGCTTATACAGATAAATATGCATTTACAAAAATATTTCAGAATTTCCAACTCGCATACAATTTAATAATTTATTTAATTTAGAGATTTATTAGAACAATACAGGTAATTCGAATGTACCATTACGCTATGCAGGCAGTGTATTTTCACTGTTCACTCTCCTCTACACATTTATTTTCTCTTAACTTGATTACGGATAAAAGTCATACAACTTATTTGCTTATTTTGTACGTTACTACCCCTAAGAGTAGTGCATTGCTCTCGCCACTGCCCTTCCCACACGCCCTGCTGCGTCGGCGTCTCCCAACCTCACTGTGGTGAATCGAAATCCACTCGGCTGGCGATGTGAATAACGGTGATTACGATGAGGAAGGTCAGCAGCAGAAAGGCCACTTTCATATCGACGAAGAGGGCGAGTCAAGAGAGCAAAGATCAGCCGAAAATGTTCGAGTACAAACTGTTAAGGCCACTACTGATGGTGGAGAAAATGCCGCTGTCGCTGTAGGTCGGGCTAGATGGACGATAATGCTGTTGTGGTAGCGGCAGGGGGCGATAGAAGGGTACCGTAGTGCCTTCGTTGCGCTGCGAAAAGGTGAAGAGGGAGAAGAGACAATTGTTATATGAGAGGGACATAGTCGGTACAGGTAAAATTTTTGTGAGAATGTTTGATTTTAGTCATGCTGTGTGCGCGAGTGCCGTAAAGTATGCAATGCTTTGTGTATGGCGTGAATTTACACTGTGAAAAATAGTATGAATAATTAATTTTTTGCTGAAATGGCGAGAAATGTGTTATGGGCTTGTGAAGTTGTGATGCGGAGTGAAATTGCGTGCAAGTTTTTATTTTAGTAAATGTATATGTAAATGCATAGTTAATGGAATGAAATATTTACAATAACATTTCTAAGTTTAATTAATAATATTTATTTAAGGAAGCTACTAATATTTTATTAAAAATTATCATTTTCAAAAATATTAGTTACTGTTAAAAGCTTAGCAAAAAGATTAAACTATTTGAAATAGTTGAGAAAATATTTATTTTTTTTTTTTAATTAACTTATTTATATAAAAAAGTGCAGGTACTTATATGAAATTTGCTTTAATTTGTTTTCTAAAATACTTACTCATAGATACTATAATTGCGTAGGAGTGTTTTGGAGGAGGGGGCGTGTTACAAGCAGTTTATCCAGTACCAGCACAGAGCAAATAAAAATTGTTTAATATCTAAATTTTGTTTCAAAAAGACCTTAACCTCAAAATTATATTGAATAGCACATATTTTTACTAAAATATAACATATGTACAAAAAATAACTAGTAATGATCGGATTTGTTTTTGACTAAAAAAAATTCAAGGAAAATTGGCAAACAAATATTAAATTTTAACAAAGATGTCGAAATCGGATTGTTTGTAATTTTTATAAATAAAGATTAAGAAATTTAAAAAGAAATAACTGTGAAAATTTTTCGAGACTTTATTTTAATAGTTTTTTGAGAAATCAGTTCGCAAGCAAAATATTTACTACTTATTTTTTAGAGCTCTACTATTTGAGGTTGAGTAATCCCAAGAAAGACCTTCTAATAATATTTAGAAAGGGTTATTCAAAGGGTTATTTGTCAATAGCATTTTTTTGACAGATCCGGCGTAAGTCGTGCCAAGTAGTGATTTTATTTTTGTTCAGTATTGTTTGGCTGGGTTGTTTATCATGGAAATGCGCCATTTCCCATCTTGAGAGCCAACTTCCTGAAGAGATTCAAGAACTGCCATTTCATAAAGAATAAATAACGGTTTGCTGTGGCCAGGACTATCTGAGACATAACCCCAGTCAACATTTGAAAGAGATTATCTTCATAAAATAAATGCCAAAGAATGTTCCTTCAAATGATAATAAACATTCTACACTAAATTCGAAGAATCTGTATTTTTTCATTAAAATAGTAGTGAACCTTTTAAACGGATCACCCTTCATTTTCAAGCAAACTATTGTATCGAGTATTTTTTTAGACGTTTGGTTTATGTCAACAGGAACGCCCCGAATATTCTCTTGCAAAACATCAATCGTCTCGAGTTTATCTATGCAGAAAAGCGTCTTTACATAATCTTACAAAAAATAGTTCAACGGTCTTAAATCGCACCATTTGAAGGTCACAGCATAGACCCACGAGGCGAGATAATGCGCTCACCAAAACCTTTATTCAATAAATGGCATGTTCGTTGGTTGTATTGCAATAGTGTCGTATTGTTCGAACCAAAGGTCGTCCAAGTCAACATCCACCAAATCAGGATTGAAAAAGAATTAAACGTGACTCTATAGCGTTCCTTATTGATATTAACATTAGGGCTGTATTACAGCATCATTTTTGAATTTTCGCATTAGTTGGATTTTGTAAGCCCTCAAATCAAGAACCGCCATGGACTCATTTAGATCTTTTGTCTCAAATTTGTTTCTAACCAAATTTTGTTTGCGTAATCACTGCGAATGTTGGAAAATGCTTACGATGGTTCAGTTTTATCAAAAACATAATACTACGAGGGGTACGAAGCTTTTAAAAACCGTCGAGAGATCGTTGAAGACGTGTCTCGTTCTGGAAGACCTTCGAGCTCTTCAACTGATGAAAACATTAAAAAAGTGCCTCTTCTGGGCAAGTGTTAGAGAGATGGAAAGGGAGTTGACTTTCTTTCGCGAGTCCGTTCGAATGATTTTTTTGGATATTTGGGTCTGAAACGCTAGACTCGTCCCGATAAAGTTGAATTTTTATTTTTTTTTTTCAAAAAGCGTATCATAAACAGGTCTTTTTGGACAGGCTTAATCAATCTCAAATTCATGGAGACCATTATAATTGCCGATGAGACACTATTTTATGAATTTAACATGCAAACAAGCACAACAATCATCGGAATGGAGGGGAAAATGAGTCGAAACCAAAAAAACCACGCTAAATCCACTCAAAAATCAGAGCGATGCTCATTATTTTTTTCGGTATTTATGGTTTGGTGCATCATGAATTTGTTCCGGTGGAACAGACGGTCTTTAAAGATATTAATTGAGGCGTTTGCGTGAGAACATCCGTCGAAAACGGACTGAATTGTGGATGCTAATGCAACATCGCATCGAGTCACGGCAACGCAATGAATACCATCAGCCATTTTCGCTATGCTACATCCACATTAGGTTGCTATTTGCTTGGAAATTGTGTTTTTGAATATATTTTGAGACTAAAATGTACGACCTCATATATAGTAATTCTAGATTAGCTTAGTATAAAAATAAGTTTTCTTCAACCTTAAAATATATTTATTTACGCTTTTGGTTACACCGAAGATTTAACAAGAAAAAGATATTTAATTTTTTTTCAAAAATTTTTACCCACACTTCTATCTAAGACTTAAAACGTAATTAATTAATAGGAAATATTATTCTATCTTTATCACCACTACTAGTGCTCCAAATTGTTGTTAAATCATATCTCGCAGTTGTTGTTATTGTTGGTGGTGGTGAAGCAAGTAGCTGAAAACGCAATATATTTCCAAAATAAATCCCAAAAACCAATAAAAAATATTAATAATTGTGAAATTCAACAGTATTCAAGAAATACATAAGAGGAGTAGATTAAATATATATAAAAAAAAAGAGAAAAATATTGTTGCCACATTATAGTGTAGTTAAATAAATATAATTATATACAAGTATGAGTATATATAAATATTTACTTAAGTGCAGCATGCAGTTGCATTTTTGCTAGTTTTCAGCGGTTATATTCAATATAGATATTTATTATATTTACAAAGTATAAAAATATCATTTATGAACAAAGAAAAATATATTGAATGCAATAATAAATGCTTACTCACCTTTGAGGGGGTCAATGAGACATTTAGCAGGGTTGGATGTTGTTCGACAACAATGAATTCCACCTCACGTGGTGCGTAGCCCTCGGCAAAGACCTAGAAAAGGTAATACAATGTGTGAAGCAGAAATATATATAATTACGGGAGTTGTGTTAAGGTTAATTACAGTAAAATACAAAAACAAATTGAAACACAAAAGAAAAACGGTCTTAGACCAAGCATCCTCTGGGTAGCCAAAGAACATCCGTTTGAAGGCGAGCTAAAGTTACAAGGCGAATCAACTCCCCCTTCTACGGTTGTGTGCTGGATTTGAGACCCGCTACGTTAAAAAGTGCTGAAGGAAAAGTAAACAACAGCCAGCTGTGGTAATCTCGGCTGTAACCGCGTTTGCGGAGTCTACGCCAATGAAGAAGAAGAAGAAGAAGAAGAAGAAGAAGATGGCGTAGGTCTAAGCTAGTGCATTGTTATAGTAGAAAAACTGAAGAAAATATAATTTTCGGCCAAAAATTCTCCACAGCAGAACCAAGATGCTCAATAATCAGGGTAGATGAAACCATCTGAATTCCACAAAACGGTGGCTATCTCCTCTCCGTCGGATAGGACGATCTTCGTCTTCTTCGAAGCAGGTTAAGAGATTGTGGTCTTTCGTTATGTTATCCTGCGGTAGCTGTTTTTGGGATACCGATAATCAAAAACCGATGTGCGACTGTAACAGCATACAAGCTCTCTTTGATGCCATTGCAATGTTTTCTTCCAAAAACAAGAAGCGTATTGTTGATCGCTATTACTCTTTTTCCCTTTTTCCAAATCCCCAGATACATCCGATTACACAGAGGATCAAAACACAACTCTGACTCGTATTCGACTGAAATAGTGGACACCGAATGTATACTACTCGATTGGGGCGGGGAGTCTACATACTTAACGAACCACCCTCAATGCATTTGAGATATATCCAGAGCTCGATATCGATGACACTAAACTAACACTACTTGGTTAAACAGTTCTTCTTACTATTACAAATAAATACACTATTCCATAAATTTCTTCAATATATCCGAAGGAATATGGCAACTCGTAGCTTACTCACCTCTAATTTATAATAACCGGGCAGCAATATTCTCCAGAACTCGCCATGCTTTGTCGTCTGGAAACCGACATCACGTCCTTTAATCTTCAGCGAGGCGCGTTCAATAGGCGTACCTGTGGGATCCAACACGAATCCTTGCACACCACGATGAGCCTCAGCCAAAAATTTGATCATGGACTGAAGAGTTTAAAAAATTATGTTTTTATTTATGTATATTTAAGTGCTCTTAAATTCCTACTCACCAACTGATTATCCTCCCAGTACTTTTTCAACTCATATGCAGGTGGATATTTACAGCAGGATATTTCCAACGTCACCTCCATGCAACCATACCAAACGTAGTTGTAATCCTGCATGCCACCGGTGAGTGGATACCAGGCAGCGCCATTCGTAATGCCATTCTCAAAGGCGGGCGTTGCCGATTTACAAGCCACACCACGTGACATTTTTGCGTGATTCTTCGCATAGACGAGTGATAAATGCTTGAAGATGTCATCGTCCGGTGTGAGTGACGGAGCCGCCGAGTACGTTTGGAACACTACGCCCAGGGGACATGTTGGTGTTAAGGAAAAGGTGGGAAAGAGAGAAAAGTTGTTGAAAATTTTTGTATTTGATTTATTTATAAGGGCCATTATATGATAACATTTGTGAATTAATGGCTCGCAAACCGGAACTGGGCGTTACTCACTCGCGCATAAAGCCGACGATCGACAAATTCCTTTGAGCAGCCATGTTGTTGGTAGGGAATAGGAAAGGAAGTTGGTAATACAAATTTATTGATCGGCAAAATTTAAAATATATAAATAAATGAGCCAATTATGAGTAAAGTGGTGACGAGAGGGGATGAGAGCGATGTAGTGGTGTTATATAATATAATATATGGCGATGACCAGACATGCAGTTTTTGGATTTCCGTTGAGTTCAGGGTGCTATCGATTAGTGAGATAAGCTTACCTACAGTTGGGTCTAAATACAAAGTCTTTCAAGGAAAAAGTAATAAAGTTCCTCTTCGTTGGTTTTAAGGAGTTGGAAGAGAAACCTCTATTTTGATGACGACCACAGCATAGGTAATAAGGACTATCATTTAAGGACATGCTCTTGGAATGTCCTGTCCCGCTGCCCCGCTGGTTAATGTCCTCGTAAAAATAAAACGAAGTTATTCAACATATCGCTTATTTGCGCCTATGCCACGACGAAAGAGAAGGACGATGTGTCCAAATATGTCTTCTATGAGCGCTTGGCGCGCACCTATGAGAGCTGCCCCCGCCACTATGTCAAAATCGTGCTTTTTGACTTTAACGCCAGGGTGGAAAAAGAAGGTATTATTGGTACAACGATCGGTAAATTCAGCCTCCACGAAGGCACATTCCCAAATGGGTTGAGGCTGATCGATTGCACAGGGGCCGGAAATATAGTTATCTGTATTACTAGATTCCAGCATAAGAAAATTCGATGGAACGATGAGCTTTGTGAAATTTACGATGACATTGAATTAGAAGACAGCTAGGCTAGGTCGTGTCGTTCGAATACACGAAAGCGAAATTTCCGGCGAGGAAGAGGAAGACCTCCACTCCGTTGGCAAAACCAGATCTAGGAGGACTCGGCTTCGCTTGGAATCTCCAATTAGCGCCAGATTGCGAAAAGAAGAAACGTATGGCGCGCTGTAGTTAACTCGGCTATAACCGCGTAAGCTGTGTCTACGCCATTAAGGAAGAAGAAGGTGGTTCATGGGGCTGTGTAAAAGAGTTATTCTGAGAAGGATTAATGCCAGCATTCATAAAAAGTGGAGTTTTAATACAGCCTTCTCATGAAACCGCAGTTAGGGTTTTTTCTCTCAGGTATGATTTAAAAGCCTACAATTTAGTTGAGCCATCTTTGATCCTCTATGTGTCAATGTGGGTAAATTGTGGTCGTCAATCTAATCCCATTTCTTAATAAAGTAGTTCAAAGCTTGTATTTCGAAGTCACTATACGTTTTGAGTAATTTTATACTTGTTAACACCTCAAAAACACAGAACTTGTTATATACTTACTAGAGTTTGGCGTGTTGTCATAGGGGTAACTCGCCACTAAAGCCCCACCATGCAAACTGCCACTCAACACAAATTGTATTTTCGATATCCAATCCTTCACTGCATCGGTTTCGGGCTGTCCGCGCTTATTATTTTGCTTGAAATAGTCGGGGAAGTTGCGATTCAAATCGAAACCTCGGGCATTATATCTGCAAAAGTCAATATTATATCCATTAATAGCAACAACCATTACTGCTGCTGCTCACCTGCCCTGCCCACCATCACATGCGCCCTCCTTAGAAACCGCAAAACCATCCGGATTCATGGATGGCATGATGTGTATGCGTGTATTGTCAAGCAGCCATTTCACATACTGATCGGTACTATAGCTGGTAACGAAATACTGTATGAGATGGAGTAGCAACTCACGACCCACCGGCTCATTGCCATGGATATTGCCCACATATTTCACATCCGGTTTACCGATTATATGCTCGTAGGGTGAGGAAGATACCACCATAACCCAGAGATCGCGCCCTTGTATCGATTTGCCAATAGAGTAAAGTGCTGTTAAGTTGGGATAGCGGGCACTGGTCGCTCTGAAAGTGGGACAGGTAAAAATGTGAGTTTAGAAGGATGAGTAAGGTAAAAAAAAGGTCAGAAACAAAATCCTGAAGTTGAGAATCATCAGTTGTTGAGGATTAATACTTTTAGTTAGTTACTTAAATCTATTTCTAATATATATTTGGGTAATTATTAAACTTACCTCAGAAATCTGGTCAACTCATCATGATCATGGTAGACAAAGTCCAAATACTGTGAATCGGGTATGTAAGCACGTGGTTCGGGCAGTGCTGCATCAAGCTCATTTGTGGATTGTGCTAGGCAATGATAGGAGTACAGAAGAAAAATGCAAATATACACAGTCCGCAGAATCATCTTGTTTGATTGTTATATGCCAGCTAACACTAAACTTCACACGAAAATTGTATAGAAGAAGCTTCACAGAATGTTAAACGAATGCTGCAAAAGAAAGGAAATTTATTTAATAAAAAAAAAAAATCAATTTAATAAGAGAACTTAATGATTATAATATCTCCATAGTTTAAAAATTGTCAACATTCAACCACAATGTGATTTTGAATGCGAGATTTGAATGATTGCTTAAGGTTTTGAAACAATGCACCTCAAATAAGCCATTTCTTAATTGAAAACGGAAGTTAGGAAATTTCCGACTTGGGGGGTTTCATGGATTTTCTCGGATAAAAAACAGACTTAAAAAAAATTTTTCTCATATAAATATTAAATATTTTATTAAAATTTTTAGAAAAAATTATTTTTAAACCGGTCATTTCGACGCCATTTCCGGTGGCCACTCGGAAAAAAGATGCGCCCGCGTTGGCTGAATAACTCCTTACGGGATCATCTGAAGTGAAAAATACTTGTTTTAGTTAAAACCTTAACTTACAACTTGGGTGAAGGAAAAAAACTGATAGTTTTGGCAGACATATTTTTACCAAAAAATTTTAATTACAACAAAAATTCGCAATTTTTTTTTTTTTTCAAATAGTTGTTATCGAAAAAAAATCCTTCGTCCATGTCTTTAAGAATTGTATTTCAAAGACCTGTGTAATATTTCATGAAAATCGGCTGAGCAGTTCTCTCGAAACTTCAAAAACACAGTTTCGAGAAAAACTCGTTTAAAGTCTGCGCACTTAGCTTAGCTATCCTTGAACTCACAAGTTCTCAAGGCCGTATCTCCGAAACTATTACTCAGATCAACTTCAAAATTTACGAAAATATTCTAGAAGTGTTGCAGAATTTAATAAGACAATAAAAATATCGATTTTTTGAAATCCGTAAACTCATGTAACCCCTTAGACGAGGCCCTACAATATAAGTGCTGCTATATGAAATTTCATCAATGAGTAATAACTTTAACGCAAATAGATATATGCCAAAGAAAACTGAGACGAGCTGAAGCTAACGTCGTTGGGCTGGATATAGTATATCTATATGTATCGATAAATTCATTACTAGCAACCACATTCGAATAAAAATAGCTGTGTATCGATGCGGTAGTCTAAAGTAATACCTCTTTTTCTATCAAACTTACGTTGTGTTCTCTGTTACTTTGGGTTTTCCTTCTGAAAATTCGCAGACTTTAAATATCTTTGCTCGTCTCTTTACTCTTTTCACTTCGGTCTATTGCACATATGTGTCTAGGCTAAGCAGGATCTCTAAACAGCAGAAAATAAGCAACATAAACTCATTTCAATTAGTGCAACGATTCGAAAAGATCAAGATCATTACATAAGCTGTGCATACGAATGATCACGAACGCGTTCGCTGTTATAACTTTTCTTTGTAGCTGCATAATTTCCTCATTTTTCATTTCGCTATGCTAATTGTGTAATAACTGAAATCGAATTTTCCAGCTTTTGATGTGCTTAGATTTTAATTGCATCTCCAGCTGTCTAGAGTGAGTAAAGCGCAACGGAGCTGATAAAATAATTACGAGGCCTTACAAATAAGAAATTGAAAGAAATGCTTCAATGAGAAAATAACCATATATTATATGTTAACATAACAGAGTATTGTACCTCATAGGTGAATAGAAGACACACAGCTTGAGTGGAGTCTTTTGTATTAACTTTTTATTGGTAATGGATATGCAAGTATTGACACGTCTAATGACGTAATCATAATTTTATGATTTGTGATATGGAATTAGATTACGTTCACTTATATTTATCTATAATGCCAATGGTGTTGTTGTTTTAGGTAGATTGTGATTCTAAATCTTTCGACTGCTTTATGTTAAAGGAATCCAAAGCTGTTCGTTCTTGATAAATCTTTTGGAGCGATCCCTTTGTAATATGTCAGTTAAAGGATATCGATAAAGGATATGGATAAAAAGAAGTATCAAGAAATTGTCTAATAGCAAGCGAGCTCTGTAATTAAATCCAAGCTTGTAGCCAACCACTCATGACATTGAACTTATGATGTTAGGGAACATATAGGTGGCCTCATGACATCTTTAAGCAACTTAGCATAAATCATCAAACAGTTTCGAACCATTTAAAAAGGAAAAGCTCGATGTTTGGATACCACATGAATTGTCTGTGATAAATTTAATGGATCGAATTAACATCTGCGATTAATTGCAGGCGCGAAATGAAATCGAACCATTTCTGAAGCGAATGGCAACCGGAGACGAAAAGTTTATCAAATACGACATTAATGTGTGAAAAAGATCATGGGCCAAGCATAGTGAAGCTCAACAAATGGTCGCAAGAGAGGGATTGGCGCCTCTATAGGTTACGCTGAGTGTTTGGTGAGATTGGAAAGGAATCATTCACTATGAGCTGCTCCAGCCTGGTCGAACGTTTAATTCTAAATTTTAATGTCAACAATTGATGAGATTGATCAACAGAAAGGGCTTCGTTTCCATCGGGACAACGCTGGACCGCAGACATGACTTGATGACTTGGCAAAAACTGGGAGAGCTTGACTGGGAAGCTTTGATTCATCCAACATACTGCACTGATCTTGCACCGTCGGACTACCATGTGTTTCGGTCCACGTAAAACTTCCGTAAAGTTGAAAATTACTTGATTAGAAATACGAAAATACATTTTTATTTAATTCTGTTTCTGTTTTCTGTTTCGGATATTTCTGTTTCTGTTCCTCTATGTTCTATTGTGTTTCTGCTTTGATCTTTATTGTTTCTGTTTTGGAATTCTTTGCATGTGGTTTTTTCTAGTTGTATTTTTTATTATCGTGATCTTATTTGCGTCTTCTCTGCTTTCTACTTCAGTTTCGGTACTAAAATTATTTCAACGTAAATATGTATTTTCGTCAACTTATGCAAGCCTGTTATCGGTTTCAATCCACGTTTGTAATTCGAATGCTGATTTTTTATTCTATTTTATATGTAAATAAACGGTGTTTGTTAAAATTTAGGATTTTTATTTCAAATAAAACTTAATTTTTTAAATATTTAAAAACATTTAATTTTTCATTCACTTCATACACCCGCATTTTCTCGAATCCATTCACGATGATCCGCATATGCCACCTTAGTGTAACCGTCGGGATTAGTACTGCCACAGCCGCTGTACACAAAATTGGAGAGACCCACCAATTTACCCTTGTATGTAGCTGGACCACCAGAATCACCAAAGCAAGCACCATTGTTAGCTTGATGAGCCAAACATTTTAGTGCTTTTAATGTGTGTTTAGTGCTTTTAATGTGTTCCACTGCATCCTATTAGGGATCGGACCGTTCGTGGACAGACGTCCCCAACCTGAGATGATAACCTCCTCACCAGAGGGTACTTCCTCTTTGGCCAACTCAATAGGTTGTATGTTTTTGGTGAAGACCAATGGTTTTTCCAATTCCAAGAGAGCTATGTCATTCAGGAAATTGCCATAACCTTTATGGACGATAATGCGCTTCAACTTCAAGAGTAGTCCACCGAGTGAGCGTTGGATACTGCCAACACGTACTTGATAATATCTAGCTGGATAACTGCGTAAAAAATTATTGCTTGACTAAGCTTCTTCTAGGTGCAGGTTTTTAAATTGATTTAGGTGAACTTACGGTTCAATGCCATTACCAACGACAACACAATGCGCCGCCGTAATAACAAAGTTTTCGCTAATGATCGAACCGCCACAGGTATGTGAACTGTCTTCCCGTTGAAGTGAGACCTGGTGGGGGAATTGCCCAACAGCGGCATCAGCCCCGCCAACAATACGTCCATTTGGAGCTGCACAGCTGCTGCTAATAAGGGTTAGTGCCAAAAGGCAGGTGGTTACGAGTAAATTGTGGTGTGTCGGCATTATTGCAACAAACTCGGCGAAGGTTTAAATAACAACTGAAACTTCTAACTCAAATCTATTGAAATTCCATAATACGTAGCATAATGTTCGCGATTATATGCGAAAACTTTTATTATGCCAGTATCAGCTATCTAAATGGCCCACTGATATCAAATTGACCGCATTTAGTAGTCTATACAATGGATTTGCAGGTCTTTTAAGATTAAAACTGTTCAATTTAAACCATTGTTATATAATTTTTTTACTGATTACCGTTATAAAGATTCCGATATAAGAAGATTAAAAATTCTATTTTTTTATTGTTAGCTGAACCCTATCATATTTAGACACGACGGACCCACAACACGAATCTGAAAATTTACTTCAATAAATTGAGTGTAACGTTGGCTGTACGTCATGTAGGGATGTGCTGTTTTAACCAAAGGTCGTCTAAAAAAACATCCTTCAATTCAAGAATGAAAAAGTAGATAAATTAATTATGAACCATGATCGCTTTAGATAGAGCGAAAGAACAAAATGTAATATTTTGACGATCTAGTAATGATCGCCGATGGATTGTCGACAGTGCTGATAAGGAGCATGCATCAGCTTCTTTGTAGAATACGGTTGGACGAAAGCATGCCCGATGATTGGAATTCAAGTGTGCTCTGCCAAAATTAACAAAAAGGATGACCCCACAATCTGCAACAACTACCGTTTGATAAGCCTCCTCAACATCGCTTATAAAGATCTATCGAGCGTATTGTGTGAAATATTGAAGCCCACCATCAACAAACTGATTGGACCTCATCAATGCGGCTTCAGGCCCGGAAAATTAACAACTGGCAGATATCAGATATTCACCATGCGCCAATTTTTCAAAAGAGGATCGAAACACCAAACCTCTTCGTCGATTTCAAAGCTGCTTTAGACAGCTCGGAAAGGAGCTGCCTTTATGCCGCTATGCCTGAATTTGGTATCCTTGGGAAACTAGTATTGACGTCGAGCAATAAAAGCTCCGTCAGGATCGGAAAGGAGCACTCAGAGCTATTCAGGCCTGAATAGAGAATGTTCAATCTTCTATAAGAGCGTATAGCTGCTGGTGTGCGCCGATGATATTGATATCATTGGCCTCTACATGCGCGCCGTTAGTTCTGCTTATTCCAGACTCGATAAGGAAGCAAAGAAAATGGGTC